AAGAGTGAGAGACCTGCGTAATTAAGGGTGTAGGATAAGCCGTTGCAGCCGCGAGCCTTGACTCCGAGCTTCAGGAAGGGCCTCTGGCGCTGCTGTAGCAAGTGGCGTATTCGTGAGGCGGCGGCGTCCGTCAACGTCACTGCCTGGCGTCGGGCCGCCGCCCCTATCTTCTCCGCTGCGACGCTCATTGCCTTAGAAGCCATTGAAGATGAACTATCCGTGTCCCTTTGCGGTAATTTTCGTCATTTAAAGCATTTCCTGTTTTTCAGGATTGGCGCGTGGCCACCACGTTGTGGCTGTGCTTCTCGTAGAACGTTCCCGAAGAAACCTATGTGCTTCTGTGGCCAAATCATATTGGCCCGTTAGTGCCCGCGGGTGAAGTTATCTCAGATAAATACACAACTATTTTTTCTTCAACTAAAAAGTTTGTATAATTTTTTAGTTTTTTTTTTAATCTAACTCAACTTTTAGTCTGTTTATATTTTAATAAAAAATTTAAAAATGCATTTTAAAAAATTAATTATTTAATAAATATATAAGAGTTAAATGGATTTATATTTCGATTAGGAATAACAACCAAACAAGTTGGTAATAGATTTTATTCTTACGCAATAAAAGGTGATTTTAAAGAAGTAGTTTTATATTTTTAAAACTTACCTCACTATTATTAAGTTTTGTGGAATTTGAATAAATTCACGAAAAACTCACCGCATATTCTTTTATAATTTTATTACTTATATATTTTAGATAAATTAAAATTTAAGTTAATGATTATATTATAATGTATTAACTCAGTTCTTATTTATAAGACTAAATTTAAAATACTTATTTAATCCTTTATATAAGATTCAATTAATATTAACTTATGTAATAATTATTTTTATATTAAAATATCTTTAATTAATGTACCTTGATAAAATGTATTTATTATAAATTTTTTTAAAAACATTCATTCTAATTATTTAAATAGTTATAATATAGGTATTATTATAAAAAGAAATAATATTAATTAAGAAAAAGAAGTAAAATAAGGACAATTTAATATATATATATATATATAAATAGAAAAAATATATTAAAAATTAAATTAATATTATATATATATATATGAACGAATGTACTAAATATATATAAAAATAATAATAAATAAGAAATAATTTACTAATATAAAAATTAAAAAATAAATTATATTTATAAAAAAATAAAATTTTAACTTTAATTTTTATATATACACAATATATATATATAGGAGATCTATTTACTCTGTGAATAAGTCTACTTAGACTTATTCCGTTAAATAACTTATGTTTTACATCAAATTTCAATAATTTAACTATTGAATTTAAAGTCTTAAATACATAAATCAAACTGCAGATTTTTAAAAAACTTGAAAACCATTTGATACTTTGTTTTGTTAATTCAAATCAATGTATAAAATGATTTTATGATTATCTATCCATTTGAATTAATGAAATGAAGTATCTAATAATTTTTAAATTTTTAAAAGTTTTAAAAACTTAATTTATATATTAAAAATTTTAAATTTAACAATTAGATTGTTGAAATTTGATATAAAATATAAGTTATTGAATAGAGTAAAACCACCTTAAAATAAACGGGACTTTTATCATATATATATATATATATTTCTTTTTGTTGTTAAAAGAATATAAAATAAAAAAAAATTAGCAGGACAGGTTTATACCGGAATCCACAATCGGTCAAAAGAAGTTTTTATCATGAAAATGTAAGATGGAGTTGGATGAGTACAGGTTTAATGGCCTACCTTTGTCTCTAAGGGACTTACGCAGCACACAATGGACCTCAAAGACTAGATTCATAGACCCAAAGTTTAGGAGTTAACTCTTAACTGTCATCTGATGATATCCCTTCCTGAATTTTAAAGGCTAAATAAATAAATATTATGTTTTTTGATTAGATAGTAAATTTGTTAAAATGAAGAAAGAAAAAAGTAGAGATAGGGAGAGCATATAGAAAAGTAAACCCCTAGGCCCTGGGCGACTAGGGGTTTTGAATTCCCAAGCTGTCCTGTCTGTATATGTCGTTGGCAGGCTCACAGTCACCGCAAACAAAACAAAAACCACCTTGCGGCATTATCAACAAAACACACACACCTCAAAATGCAGAAACACTTTTTGTATAAATAATTAAAACACTCACTCTCTCAGACCCCTCCAATTTTCTCAGGTTTCGCTCCCTCCTCTCATCTCTCAATCTTACACCTTCTCCATATTTCTTCCTTTTTAGCTTTTTTCATTTGCCGTTTTTTCCTTTTTTCTTCGTTTCATTCAATTCCACTATTACTGTTAACTGCACCACACTCTACCATACACACTGCATTTCCTTAAATTATATTTCTCTTGACCTAATATTTCTTGATTCTTTGCTTATTTTCCACGAACAGGTATAGGCAGAAACAATTCTGAGCGAATTGCAACTTTCGCATGTTTATCAAAGCCGCGTCGAATTTCGACACTGTGAGAATGGCAACCTGTTATACGCCTTCCAATGTTAGAAATTCCGCGGGGGTGCTGGCTGTTGTTGGAGGGAGAAAAATTTCTGAGAATCACGGTAACAGATCGTGCTTCTTCAGAATTCAAGAGAACAAGTACGTCTTTGGGAATCGAAAGTGTGGTTCGTTTCATGTGAAGTGCTCTGCCAATAATCCCCACAGCATCAGTCGCAAGGACCCTTTTTTGGATCTGCACCCTGAGGTTTCAATGCTTAGAGGAGAAGGAGGTAGTGCATTGAACAACCCTAGGCCTAAAAAGGATGTAACAAGTGGAAACGTGGTTGAGAGTTTAGAAGATGCGACGACTCCGAGTAACTACAATGAAGCTAAGATCAAAGTCATTGGTGTTGGTGGAGGCGGGTCAAATGCGGTCAACCGCATGATAGAGAGCTCCATGAATGGTGTGGAGTTCTGGATTGTCAATACTGATGTTCAAGCCATGAGAATGTCGCCGGTCACTCCTCAAAACCGGTTGCAAATCGGTCAGGAGCTTACACGAGGACTTGGCGCCGGTGGTAACCCTGAGATTGGTATGAACGCTGCCAAGGAAAGCAAGGAATCGATACAGGAGGCAGTTTATGGAGCTGATATGGTCTTTGTTACTGTATGTTCAACTGACCATTTTTCTTTAGTTATAGCTTATGCTAACTGTATTATAGTTTTGCTTTGTGAGTTTTATTTTTAGTGCACTTGTTAGCATCACAGTAGTTGACACGGACACGGGTTATGGTATATGCTCTTTTGTAATACCAAAATAGTAAAATTATAACTTGAAGTAGGATAGGGTAATGTCTGTTTTCATAGAAAAACAAAGGATAGGGTAATATGTTGTGCAAGGAGGAACAGGCCACAATATTCAACAAAGAGGTTTTTAAGGGACAACATCTGAGGGGTTTCCTCAGTGTGTGGCTTAAATTTTTTATCTGCATGCTCCGTTTAACATTTGTTGTGGTGGCATTCAACTGCATAATATGAGTTATTTGACTTTCATAACTTGACATGTTGTTTTATGAATCACTCTTTTGGATTTTTACATTATTGCTAATTTGCTAAATTTCAGTAAACTTGAAATATTAAAATTCATCTGTGCAGGCTGGAATGGGTGGAGGAACTGGCACTGGCGGAGCTCCAGTTATTGCTGGTATCACAAAGACAATGGGTATACTGACTGTTGGTATTGTCACTACCCCTTTTTCATTTGAAGGACGAAGAAGGGCAGTTCAAGCACAAGAAGGAATTGCAGCCTTGAGAGATAATGTTGACACGCTGATAGTTATTCCAAATGACAAACTTCTGACTGCAGTTTCTCAATCTACCCCTGTGACTGAAGCATTCAACCTTGCTGATGATATTCTTCGACAAGGTGTTCGTGGTATATCTGATATTATTACGGTATGGAATCAAGAAGATCTTTGAATAAATGTCTTCCTGTTGTTGCTTTGTTCTTTTTTTTACTCCCATGAAATATTGATTGTAAAAGGAGTAAAAAGGAAAGAAAGAATGAAAACGGAACCTTCAGTATGTTTTGACAATTCAGTTGTCCCCTCTGATTCACTAAGATGTTTGGTATGATGATTTAAAACTGTGTCTTACCATTAGTTTATTATTTTATTTGCTAGAATTCATATAACTTTTTGCTATCAATTTTGGATGCATGTAGGCAAAACATATCTGGGCATCCCACTAATAGGATGTCCTGACTCCTGTCCTGATCATATGTTTCCCATGGTTTAAAGTTGATGGTGCCTGTCAATCATTAATGCCCATTTTGTAAATTGATTGCAGATACCAGGATTGGTGAATGTGGACTTTGCTGATGTTCGAGCGATAATGGCCAATGCAGGTTCTTCACTTATGGGAATAGGAACTGCAACTGGTATGTTTGGGAACTGCATATGGAGATGCATTCCTGGTTCTAAATACTGTTCTTCTATTTGACCTAAACAACTAACAAGTTTTCCATACATTATATGGTTATTTTTGAGTTTAAGTAAATTTTAAAATATGAATACACTCAAAGATATATAGAAGAAAAACATCATCATTTTTTTTTTTTGGAAAAATATCATCATTGTTAAATGTTACAGAATTGTGAAATCAGATATCTTAAGAAAGAAAGAAGTATGATGTCTTGACTGTCAATAAAGAGAATTCCATTTTTATAGATAAGAATGATTTATGAGATAAGACTTTTGAAATAAATGAGGAGATTATGGAAATAAATTATTTGAATCAATACTTGTCAATTTATGTGTAAAGGAGGAGGGTTGTGTTAGTTATGCCCTTGCAGTCAATGTAAAGATCGTTGATATACTAAACAATCAATACACATAATCACTGTGGCTATTAATTGTATATGATGCGTCAAAAATTTAAAATTCAAATTCGAATTAGGAATGAAAAAATTTAAAGAATAGTGTTTGAGAGGAATAAAAAAAATGAAAAAAAAAATGATATACTTGATGTAGAAGTCACATCTAACATGGCTTACTAAGAAAGAGCGTAGGTCCTAAAAGTCCTCTTGTTTTAGAGTGAGTAATCAAATTTAATATGGCAATGGTTTGCTTCTAAATCTCTGCTTTGCTTACTGAAAATTATATAATATCTGTAGAGGGTATTGTGATACTTGAACTATTTATGCAAAAGGACAATTGTAAATATTACCTTACCATATGGAGCACATGTCTACAACTACAAGGAAAGGATTATGCAACCAAAGTTGTTTTAGTGGCATAGCTAGCATTGCCTTGAAAGTTGATACTATTCCTTTATATTGCAAATCTAAGCAAAGCATTTTGATGATTATAAAATTAATTCTCAAGGTCATGCCACTGCTTAAAATTCTGGAGAAGCATACACGTTGATGGTGAACATACTATAATGGTCCTCGACAATAAAATTTTACCCCTTTACTTTGCTTTCTGTTAACTGATTAATTATTAAAATAATATATTGTCCTCTGGTTGGTGTACACTCTTTTTATGGGGAAAGAGGAGGAGGGTCAGAATTGATGAACATATTCTGATCCATGGTTGCATATATTATTGAACATTTGAAATTTATCTGTCTTCTTTTTGTATTGAAGGGAAAACAAGGGCAAGAGATGCTGCATTAAATGCTATCCAGTCACCTTTACTAGATATTGGTATAGAAAGGGCTACTGGAATTGTATGGAACATAACTGGTGGAAGTGATTTGACGTTGTTTGAGGTAGCTAGCTATCCCTTTCTCCTTTACAGTGTTATCTTTGCTGGATATTTGTTTCATCTGTGTATCAGTGTTTGTACTTGATGTTTTTTCTCCTCTTTCTTTCTTATTTTTATTTTGAAAAACAGTCATTCCTTTTTCCTTTGGTATCTGGGTCATATAATGGCTGTGTGAAATTTCTAGGAGCAACATGTACTGAAATAAGTTATTTGTAAAAGGCATCCACATCCATCTAGTAATCCAGTTACTATAATTCTGCTGTCATGCTTTTCTGGCAAGCTATTTATAAGCTGTTTTTGAAGTGCCCAAATGATTGTTTGAGGCATACATTGGGATCCATTCCGTGAGCAAAGAAATAAAATAAACTAGCCTTCAGTTTCGTTTTCTGAATAGCTACCTATTTAATGATCTGCAATCTATTAAATCCATCATTTGTATTCTATATAATATAGTCCTTCAGTATGCTATGGCTTTTAATATTATCATTTACAGGTAAATGCTGCAGCAGAAGTTATATATGACCTTGTGGACCCCACTGCTAATTTAATATTTGGAGCAGTAATAGATCCATCCCTCAGTGGTCAAGTAAGTTAAGCTATGAAAGCCCTTATTTACATTATCAACTCTATAATAAGTGAATATTCCTCTTCCTCTCGCAATGAATTGGGCAACATTACCCCTGTTGAATTCGTTCAAAGCACAACAAATATGCCTTTCATTCTAGGAAGCACATGCGCATCAAAACATTCGCCATACCCATGTCACTTAGTTCACAGACGTTTTAGATACTCCCACCTACTATGTGCAATTTTTACTCTTTTTTTTTTTTGTTTTTAATAAATTACACTTCTTTTCCCTTGAAATATGCTTAAATTACACTGTTCTGTCATCTAATTTGTTAGAATATATGAAAATATTCAAAAATGATTTGTCATATTAGTTATTATTATGATTAGTATATCAATAAGGGTTAGTACTCTAGGTTGTATGAACATGTTGAATAATTAGTATTTTGTTCTTTTTTATCTCCCTCTTTCAATACCTAAAATTCTACAATTCTAACATAATTTTTTAAAATTATACTTTCCTCTCGAGAGATGAAATGTGCTACATTTCAATCTATTTTAATGTACACGAATCTACTAATAGTGGTGAATCACTGCGAATGATCTTCCAAGAGACATTTGTGCTTTCTTTTACAACGTTCAATGTCACCGAAAGTCAATTTTGAGCATCTTAGGGTTGATTTAGGACTCCGGATGATAAAGTAAAATTTAAAGCACCCTCCTATAACCTCTGAGCTTCATCCAAGTTCTTTATTTTATCTTAAATTCCAAAACTGCAGGGGTTCAAAACTAGCTGTTGATAATGTCAAGAATAAAAGACTAAAAACAAAATGTCTACGAGAAGCTCATTCATATTAAAATGGATTACATATTCATCTATCGGTGAAGTATCACTTTTAAAATTAGAGGGGTGGGTAATGTAATTTGAGCATCTCGTAAGAGATAGATATTTTTCAATACTCAGCAAGTAGGAACTATACCCACACAAATAGAATCCCGTCCGAGGAAGAGAGTATAATTTCCTCTTATTCTTTTGAATTTTTGTACCAATACAAATGGAAATACTATGATAAATTATAATTTGATAAATGACACTATTTTACTATATCTATAATAACTAATGCTAACTTTTAAAACATTGATTTGCTCATTTAAGATTTGTGAACTATAGGTATGTTCTTTCATAATCATGCTGTGTCCCATCGTTTTATAAATTTGCCATGTAATTTATTTCATATAGGTAAGCATAACATTAATTGCAACTGGATTCAAGCGTCAAGAGGAAAGTGAAGGGAGGCCCATACAGGTATGACTTACTACCCCACTTTTCCCCGTTCCCCCTCTCTCTGATTCAATACCCATGATTCTGTTTTTTTTCTAAAACGCAGGCCAGTCAACTCACGCAAGGAGATACCATTGGTATCAGTAGAAGATCTTCCTCTTTCACCGATGGCAGTTTTGTTGAGATCCCTGAATTCTTAAAGAAGAAGGGGCGCTCACGTTATCCAAGAGCTTAATACTCTTTTCCCCAACTTATTTAATCCCTTGCATCTCCTTACCAAACAATTTTTAGGGATACAAATCTCATTAGTCTAGGTATTAGATCCCGTTTTGCCTTTTTTTTTCCCGCATTTTTTGGTCCGTATTGTGCATAATGAAAGCAAAGTACTTTCCAAACCGTTGTGTTTTGAGTTGAGGCTTGTTGGCATATTTTAATAAGTTTATTAGCTTGTATTTTTGTACAGAGAATATATCAGTAATGGCCATGGCTTGTTAGTGTTACCATCCATTAAAAACTGTGGTGTCAGTTTGTTCGGGTGTTTCTGTTGGATCCCAAATATCTTTCTCGCATTCGATGCCGAATTGGCGAAAATGACCGGAAAAATCAGGAAACAATGTGATAATAACAATGGAGTTGCTATGAAGTTTATTATCTACTCAATGAGACTAACGTAAGTTAAGATATGATGTAAACAGTAATATTGTACTTATATTTTAATACTTATTTCTGTGAGAAATTAATTTAATTATGTTAGGAACATATTACAGAATTTTCATGATTTTATTTACACTTGATATATTTATATCTCAAAAACCTCCTCGGGCATACTATCCCTGTCGAGTGAGTAGTTGGTTTTCTTCTTCCTTTGCCTTTGCAAAATAGGAAGTCAATAATGCATTGGGCACATCATGAACACGATGACGAGGTTGTTGATTTTGTACCTTTATTTGCGAATTTTGTATTTGTAACATCTTTTTCCTAACTTCGTGACAACCAACCAATTTTCATAATTAATTAAGTATCGTTTTGGTCTCAAAGGCAAATATATCTTTAAGAATTTTCATCTCATTTATATCGTATTATGATATTAAATTATTCTGTGTACAATATTTGGTTTGTTTTTTATTTATTTGAAACATCATATGTTGAGAGTATTGTGGTTGATTCGTTTACACTTTACAGTGTTACGTAATAATATCATGTAAACTAAATCTAAAGTTATGCTTATATACTCAAATAGACGAGTGATACAAATCAGTAAAAATCCAAGGTGTCAAATAAAATTAGGAAAACTCTACGGTACCCGGAACAGTCGCATATTTTATTTTTATTTTTTTATTATAATTAGTTGTTTTTTTTTTATTTTAATTTATTATTTTTAATAATTTATCTTTATAAATTTTTTTATATCTTTAAATTATTTATATATTTTTTAAATTTTATCTTAATGTAACATCTATTATAATTAAATAATTTAATATTAATATTTTGTTAATACATTTTAATTTTTTTTAGTGTTAATTTTTTTAATTTATAGTATAAATTAGTTTTTGAATTATATTATTTATTATTTTTTTCTTATTTTAATATTTTTATAATATTATTATATTTTTTGTTTTTAATTTTTTAATTCTATCACATAAATAAAATTTATTATAAAAATTAACTTTTTGATTATTTTTTTTAATTAATCTTTTTGATTGACTTATCTTCTACAAATTTTTTATCTAAAATTTATGTTATTTTAAATTTATTTTTTAAAATTTATTTATTTATATAATTTGAAGTACCAAATTCCTTCAATTATTATAGGTACATAACAATTTCCATAAAATTATTAGGCTGCATTCCATAATCACCAAATACTTCCAAAGCCCAAATTTGTAAGTGTTCGGATTCATCTCGGATCATCTAAAGTCACAATAATTCTACATAACTTTTGCGTTAAATAAAAACAATGTTTCAGTATATTCTTTTGTCTCTATAAAATAAAATAAGTGAGTTTTGATTTTGATTCATATAAATTTTTTTATTTATTTTTTTATTACAAACATTATTTTTGATTATTGTAAAATATTTTTTATTATAATAAAATAAGTAAATTTTGGTTTTAGTTTTTATAAAATATTTTTTTTTATTTTTATTCCTCTAAAATTTAAAATCATTATTTTTAATCTCTAATAATAATTTTAAGATAGATTAATAATATTTATTTTAAAGACTAATATAAAATTTCAAAAATTTCGTACACTAACATAATATTAATATCAATAATAATTGTGAGTAACATCTAATACCATCACATAACATTTTGATAATTAAATAAGTAGTTAAAAATGATTATATAATAATATACTAAAAATAATAGTCCTAAATTTTAGAGAGATAAAAAATAATGAATTCTTTTTATAGAAACTAAAATCAAAATTTCCATTTTTTAAAGATCGAAGCATATTTAAGCCTAAAAATAATTTATTTTATATTGAATTTTATTATTAAATTATTTTTAAAAACACTCAAATATAAATCATTTTTTAAAATCATTTTTAATTAAAATTAATTTTATTTAAAATCAATTTTGTACACGTTGGTCAAAATACACATTAAAGATCTCTTTTGAATGCATATGAATTAGATTCTCAAGTTCGTAGGGCCTAAGAAAAACACACCCATGTGATTGGGAGGGTAAGGAAGGTCCACACTTTCATATCAGAGTCTCGTTTGGAATCAAGTGAATGACAAAGGAACCTCATCGGTTTATCCACTTGTCAGTCTCCACCAAACTGACTCCGTTTCCATTTCGATTTGAAGCGTCAATACTATGCCTCCTAAGACAAATGCTAAACTAGGTACTAGAAAGTTCGTATTATTAGTACAATAATGTCAATAATTTTTTTTAACAAAAATATATATTAATAGATTAGCTATCTATCTAAAAAATGACCAATTTTGAATATTTAGAGACGTATATACAATTTGATAAAATTAAAGCCTAGTTTAAATGTTCCACGTATTAAATATATATATATATATATATATAATTTCATCCTTGTAGATAATATTGAACCAAAAAATCCTTGTACATAATATATAACAGATAATTATATTATATATAACTTTTGTTAGAAAAAAAACATTCTCTATTCATCAAGAGAGAAAATTTTTCCTTTTTTTGTCATAAGTATCCTCCAACCTACTTAGGAGAGGATATATAAATTCAAGTTTACCGATCGAATCATTAAACATGTGGTCTGCACAAATACATACTCATTTTTTTAAAATTTGTATAGTTTATAACAAATTTTTGGTTGGATTCGCAAAATCAAAAAAACTTCAATTTGATGTGTGGATTATTATTATTATTATTATTATTATTATTATTATTATTATTATTATTATTATTATTATTATTTGTTATTATTATTATTTGGATTTAGGGTTTAAGGATAAAAATCAACACCTCACTTATCAGTATACAACTTATAAATTTAAGCTAAATTATATTTTTAGTGTATTTATTTTTGTCAATTTACAATTTCGATCTCTCTATTTAAAAATACATATATTTAATCCTTCTATTTTTAAAAATATAAAATTTTAATTATGTCATTAATTTGATATTCGTTAATTGTTAAATTTTAACATTATCTAATGATATATAACTATTTAAATGATATGTAATATTTAAAGATGTAACATATATGATTAAAAATATAACATACAAAAAAACTTTGTTTGTATCCATTTTAACAAGTATTTGATATTTATTTTGATTATAAATTTTATTTTCATGTTTTTATTAGTTTTTCTATCACCAAATGTCATTCTATCATTATTTAAGTATGAATACTTTTGAAAGTTTATTTTCTGAAACATATTTTTGCATACTCAAAATTTGAACCCAATATTTTATTTTCTGAAGCAATGATTTATTGATATTTTATAACTGTTGAATAAGAATGAAAATGAGAAAAAATAGAATGGTGAGTGAAAAAGATGAGATAAGCGAAGGTGATTGGTGGAAAGGTAAGAATGAGAGAGAGATGGAGTTAGGAGTTAGGAAAGCATGGAAGATGAACGTCAACCTCACAATCCAAGGAATCCCAGAGCAGAGGCGTCTTTATTTTCTTTCTTTTTCTTTTCATTCCATTTTGGCATTTAGGAGTGAGTGCCACACAAATAGAATCCCATCTCAAACAAGACACGTACGTTTGTCACTTACCATACAAAAGAAGCTCTTGTGGGCGACGTGTAAACTAATTTCCCACCCACTCCCTTAGCTTTATTCCCCACACAAACACACCCTCTCCCATTTCAAATCTCCATACACACTCTGCATGACCCCTTCATGGCTCACCACACTCCTTCTCATCCATCTAAAGACATCACCAACATGGAGGAGCAGCAACAACAAGAGTCTTTGACCAACCTTAGCCATGATGACAGAGATAACAAGGATGTTACACAAAACCCATGTGCTTCAAAACCCCTTGAGGCATTGCAAGAAGAAACGAGTGTGGCAGAGGATAGTGGACGAGAGAGGCTGAAACGGCATAGAGTTGAAGTGGCTGGAAGAGTATGGATTCCTGATATATGGGGTCAGGAGGATCTCTTGAAGGATTGGATAGATTGCGCTGCATTTGATGCTCCTTTAGTTCCAAGCAGAATCTCCACTGCTAGAGAGGCTTTGGTTCAAGAGTGTACAAGACCCAATGCCATTGCTGCTCGACTAAGAATAGATAACAGGTGTTAGATTTTTCGTTTCTGTGATTCATTTTAACCACAACCATATATCCTCATCACGGATTGTTTATTAATCCTCATCTTTATATAATCCCATTTCCTTTTTGTGGATGACAATTTTATTTTCGTCGATTTTCGAGATACATCTGAAAAATTTTACATTCGTAAACTGTTAAGTTCCTATATTTTATTCACTCATTATTATGCTCTCAGCACTAGTGTGAGTGTCTTTTTCTTTTCAGAAAAAATAAGTTTTTAGTTCAAGCACTTTCCCTAATGATCTCTCGTTCAGTTTCAGCAAACCTTTACCATAAAATGTAGTTGAAGCTTTCAATGTTTAATTAATAAAGCCGCACATTTAATGTAGATAACTTTCAGCCTTTGACAAATTCTCGTAGTGTTTTGGAGGGAAAAAAAAGTTATAGTATAATCCAGGGTTAAAGGATGATATATATATATATATTTATATATATAGTAAGTAGTCAATTATAACTCCAGCATAATTAATTTGTGCAAATGCTAACGATTTAAAAGAACCCATTTGGACAAAGAAATTTTAGTCACGAAAATAGAAGATATAATCCGAGTACATTCATCAAAATACTATTTTAAGTCGTATAGTCATCTATCAAATGTTCCAGTAGTGTTGTTACCAAATTAAAATAACAATATTTATTTGTCAAAAAGCGAAGGAATCATTGCATTTAAACCTTAAACAATGTCGTCTAACATTATTATTTGTGATAGCTCATTTCTTATACACTAGGACTCCATGCAGTATATATTATTGGCCTTTACAAATGGCTTACCGGGGGTATAATAGTGATAATGAGATATCCACTGCTAACAAAATTTAGAGAAAGGAAAAGGAATTGAATCATTATCATTTCCCGGTTCTGAATATCTTGTAGAGAACTAGCGTTGCGACCCATCAGGAAATAGTGGGCGTGGATTGCTCAATTCAATCACCTGTTGTTCTAGTTATCGAAACCTTGTTCCGACAGCAAGTTGCCACAGTGATTAGTGAGTATCCCTTCCTTTTCATTCTATCACTAGAGCTCATTGAAGTAAAGTATACTAGTTCACCCTAGGGTAAGTAATCTTTGAGCAATTCTTAGAGAAAATATGTAAAGTTTTTAGTTGACAGTAGTTACAATTTACAGTCACACTCCTGACTTCCCTAAAAAATATAATATTCAATATCTCTAAATTTTAAGTAAATATAACTTAGAGAAAAGAAAAAGAACTATGAGGATGCCTGCACATCTAGCACTTCTACTATTAGGCTCCACCAGTATAAATTTCTGCTACTCACAGCAAATGTGAAAAACCAGTATCACCATTATGATATCAATTCCCACACCTTGATTGTCCCATCATCGCTTGCAGATGCTAGTATCGGCTTCTCCTATATAGTAAACAACACTGTTACCAATTGCATAGACACACACATGAAGCAAAAACAATGCTGAAATTAAATAGGTCACCATTCTCTAAATATGTAAACGATAGTTTGATTTAAGAAAATGTTTTTTATTTTATTTTTTATTTTCTGTTTAGTTTTAATTACAAAAATGCTTTCTTTTTTGTACTTTGTTTAATAATTTCTAAGATTATAAGAAACACTAAAAAGTTATTTTAGTTGTTTCCTATACAAATCTACAAAAACAGCAAAACAAAATGAAAACAAAGTAGTGTTTGTAATTAAAAGTGAAAACAGAAAACAATTTCTATCAAAAAGCCCCCAAGTTTTTATAAGCTATTAAGCTGTATGTTGCAGAAGAAAACAACAAATTTTATATTTCTTGAAGTTATAACACTAATGAGAATTTATTTTGTCCTTCATGGTGCAAAGTCTGCAAATGCTTGTCGGTTAAACACGTTACTAGTAACAGAATGCCAACTAATAACAAGTACTTTTATTGATCATGTACAAGTTATCAAGAGTGAAATTTATGAGGTAATTATTCAGATTCAGACACAGTCAGCCAAGAGAATATCTAATTTAGCAGTGAAATCCACCATTCCACCCACTCAATATTTGTGGAAAGAGATACTCATTCCATTATCAATGCGATTCCATTAAAGTAGTGTCTGAGAATCTTACCCCAGGGCTCCACTGCACACAATTTATATCCATGTCGTGGGCCTTCTCCTTCTTCAGCAGCAACTTGTACAGAGGACCACCAACCTATACAAGAAAGCAATAAAATTTTGTCAAAGTTAACCTTTTTTTCTTGATAGAGCAAGATGCATCTACAATCTATGAGGATACATAGTGAATTATTTAAAAAACCTTTTTGCTCAATTTTGGTCATTATTTTCCAACACAATCATACAATCTTATATTAGTTTGAATTTTTCAGGGACCTGGATTTCAATGTACATATGGATTTATCCCTTAATAACAACTGCACAAATGTAGAGGTTCAAAACACCCGCACGTTTTCAGACACCGAGAAGAGCACCTAAACAAAAGGATCTGATGCAAGTCCAAAAATATACGGAGAAACTGAGAAGGATGATTATTATATTATGAAAATTTGGAAGTAGCTGCTCCAGCTCGCCAGTAACCTCAAACAGTAAAGCAAATATGCAAGAACATCATGCTAATCTCTCCAAAATAAAACTTAGTTCAAATAAAAAACTTGATGCAGATAAATAAAATTGCAAATATAGTTAATATTATAACTGTTTGACTGAGCGTTCTCCGCACTTCAGTTGTAAATAAAGAAACACGTGGCATTCATTTGTCAAGTCTTGTGCTACTCTTGTCCTTGTAAGCAAGTACAAAGAGATCAAGAAATTCCAGGTTATTGATATGCGCAAATAGCCAATAGAATCACAAAGTGTGTGATTTGAAGTGATTGATTTTACATCAGAAAAAGGAAACTAGTAATGGACACACAGAATCCAATGCTTCTGCTCTCTGCGAACTCTTCCTACACTTTAGACTAAATGTAGAAGGATAAAATATCTATATGACTATATCCTAGTGGAATCTCTAGCGAGTGAAAGTTGCATGCCACACTAAATAATGACACTTGTTTCTCCCCACCAGTACTCGAAAGAAGGAAAAAGAGGGCCTGAGTATGGGACCAACAGCCTATGATGTCAACAGAGTTGATCAACAAATTTTCTGGTCATTAAAACCAACAAATTCACAGCATAGGTTAGCTGGACATTCAAAGCAAGCGAAGTCTGTGCGATTTATATTTTATTGTACAACCACAACTTTGCAGTTGTTACCCAACTGCAGGATATATGGATATGAATAGGGGTGTTCATGGGTCGAGTTGATTTGGATTTGGGTAAAAATTTAATATGAACCAATTAAATTTAATTGATTTGGATTGGTTCAAATTTCATTAAAAAAATTTGTTTAATTTGAACCAAACCAATCTGATGTTGACTGTGTTAGTGTGGTTCAAATCATCAAATATTCAATGAATTTTAAAAATAATTAATTAATTATTTTTTCAAAAGTAAATAGATTTTTTAACATTAACTAAATTGATATATTGTCAAAAATTAACTAAATTGATAGATTTGCAATATAGTTTCTCTTGCTTTCTTTTATTAAGCCATTTAAACATTTCAAATGCACTACAATGATATATACATATTAATTATTAACCAAATAAAAAATAATAATATATAAATTAATTGGGTTGGTTTAGATTTTAAATATATAAATTTGATACTCAAACCAATCAACATCGGATTTATTTGGTTGGTTAAAGTTGGAACCGAACAAAAAAAATCTGAATCAATTTAATTGGTTTAGTTTGGATTGTCGAGTTCATCAACTTGATTCAATCTAATGAACACCCCTAGATATGGAGCAGTTTAGCTAATTATTGGGCTGAAAATCAGCTTGTATTAAATGTGTGTGAGAGAGAGAATTGTCCAGCAAGAGAACACAGTATTCGGCCCACACTTTTTGGAGTTTGACACATGAATATTCCGGTCAACATTCTCAGCTGTTGTTTCTAAAATATTAAATTAATGAACAACTAGTACTAATCATAAATACCCTGATTTTTAGTAAATTACACACTACATCCTGACGAGAAATTTATCTATTAGTCAATAGGCACATAAATTACAGCATTTGAACTGTTTATGTTTGTGGATATCTGCAGTAACTATAAAGATAAACAATTGGCATACCTGACTTTCATCGTCATCCACAAATAGCCGTATAGAATCATCAGCAGCTCCACTGGCAAAGATACCTTGTCTGTCAAACCAACATAGCGCAGGATACAGAAATATCAGATTTATATAAACAAAATTAAATAAGATAGGATACATCTGACATCTGAAAGAATTAATAAAATTATGATTGAATCTGCAGAATGCAGTGAAAATGACATTTACATTTTTCAAAACATCTGTGCCCCTAGGAGTGAAAAGAGGGTAATCTACCCACAATGTAGAAAGAAAGTCAGCATATATCCCAAATATGGACATGGGTTGATTTACTCGATAACAAAACAGTTCATATTCCATTATAATCTTACTTATTTGACATCCTTAACCGCGGGAATAGGTGTACATAAAAATGATGACATTTGACTTCTTAAAAGCCATATGTATGAAATTATGAATTTGTGATAACCAAATAGCAGAAGGTTAAATCTGTGAACCACTAAAACATTTACATAAATACAAAGAAGTGAGATGCAGATTTCATTTTACCTTGACCAATGAACTGAGAAAATTGTCCGATCATGATACCCTGTAAGAGTGCAAAGATGTCTCCTGATATTGCAATAAGAAAAGAAATAATATTATAATAATATCTGGAAAGGAAAGAAGTAATTATATAATATGCCTTCATGATAAAATAATTTATCCCTCATTTTAATAATTGCTACAGTGAATAATAGAACATTAACCCAGACATATGCAATTGATTTTTATAATCTTTGAAAGAAACCAACAATGGTGTTTCAATCCATTCCAAACTATACTACAAATATAGCAGAATTGACAGCCAGATTATGACTTGAAAACACAATTAAATCGGTTTAGGGTTCAAATATCAAATGCCACCAAAAGAAAAAGATCCTATATAAAAATCAGATCTTTCAATATATAGTTGAGTTTAATATAAGATGACTGGGGATATGCATGACAATAGCAAGCATTGGGTCATGACATGGAGTTTGTAGTTATCAATTTCAAATAGCAGCCCGTAGCAGCTAGCTATGATCACTATAGCAGGATAATGGGATGTGCTATTTTAAGTAATATAATATAAACTAATTAGTTTATACTACATATATAAATCCTAAAAACAAAAGAAAAATCCAAATCAAAGAAACTCATGATAAATTATACGAGTCACAGTTTACACAGACAATCCCCATCAACATAGGAGCAATAAAGACATAATAATGAAGTCAAAAAATAAAACATGATGGTAAAATAATAGAAAAAGAACATAACAAAATAGATTAAAAAAAAAATAGTAGAATTTCAACTAGGAAGTTGAAAGGAAGATGAAAGAATGGAAAACCCAAAAAAATAAAAAATAGTCCTGTAAAGTGTGAATGAACAAAGGTCAAAACAGAGGTAATTATTTTGTGGAATGGTAAAGGAAGAAGGGTTTCAAATCCTATTATGTTTATAAATAAAGCAAAAAACAATGCACTAGAAAATCGGGGAGAAATCACAATTGTACCAAAAACAGAAATTTAAATAAAATCTGGTTAAATATACTTATATTGCTCCACTCTGGACGGTTAATATGCTACCATTACATCATAATACACTCTACCATATGCACATTACTGTCCATATATTTTACCCCAAAAAAAGGTCCTCTATACAGGACCATTCCTCTTGGAAAACCAGTTTCAGGATTGTAAAGTAATAACCCATAATAATAACATATAAATATGTATGATTTACATCAACAGCTTCCGATTAAATATACAAAATGTCAAATACATATTCTAGTATTCTATCCCAGAGGAGAAAAAACTAGTGTAAGAGATTGCGGCAAAAAAGAAACTTTTGTGATACTAACCAAGGTGCAAATCCACCACCAGATTGCATCCCTGTGTTTTCTGTTGCCCATACCTTCAGGGTAAGATCATCACTGCCATAAAGGATTGTCGTCAAAATACCACAGAAGTTCAAGAAAATGCCAAAATAATTATATGCGTAAACAAATGAAATGTTTCGCATACCTACACGTAACCATTTTGTCGCCACTCGCATTGAAGGAGATGGCCCAAACAGTGGAAGTATGACCACTGACAAATAACACCGTTATACATCAATGAATTAACATTAACATTGGTTTGAAAAAATTGTCATCCTACGTAGACTAGTGTAAAACATACATGCAAAATGAAATAGAAGAAAACAAAGAAGCTACAAAATTGGAGGTGATGGGAGAGGTCAAGAAGTAGTACTTATTGGGTTCCCCAAGCGTTTGAATGCACTGCCAATCGTCACTATCACCTTCATCCGCCCAAACCTGGAAGAAAATTCATTACGCTATATCATCATCACACTGTTAATCACATTCCTTTGCAAAAGGAGCAAACACACGTAACCTTAAAGAAACCAAACTAAAACGGAAGAGCCTCTTTCTTTCAGCATCTGCAATACCTTAACATTATTATCATAGCTACACGAAAACAAGATATCCTCCGTGGGGTGCCACTTCACCATTTTCACATCCTGCGCGTGTCCTTGCAGCACAGACACACACTCAAACTCGTTCCCAGGCAGAACTTCCCAAATCCAAACAGACTTATCCCTACTACAAGTTGCAAGCAAAGTCCCAGACGCGTTCCAACACACACTCTTCACTTCATTCTCGTGTCCCTATCCATAAAACCACATTTACCTCAAAGTAAAGCACAATGATCAAATAACACAAAGCCAAATTCAAACAAATAATAATAACAACATGTTCATAGTGTATGAATTCAGCAGCAACCTAAACCTACCTCCAAAGTAGAAACACACTCAAAATCACCACCAACATTTTCCCAAATGGCGGTAGTGGCATCGAAGCTTGCAGTGGCCAAGAGTTTCCCCGACGGTGACCAAGCACAAGATCGAACAGTTCGAGTGTGCGTTTCTTCCAAAACCGCCTACATTTCATTTTCGTAACAGTTTATAATCGAAGTAAACTATAATCAATAGAATTTTCTCCAATTATTAAATATACACTAAAAATTATCAACAGTGAATATTAATAGAGAATTGAAGGAAATTGAGTTGAGAAAAGGACCTTGCAAGCCCAGAGGCCAGAGGAGAGGTTCTGCTCCCAGATTCGGACGGTTTTGTCGCCGCTGCAAGAAGCGAAGACGAGTGGGATACCGGCGTGGCCGGTGGCGGGGTTCCAATCCAAGCTCCAAACCCTATCGGTGTGACCTTCGAGTCTCTGAATCTCTTTCAACTCCGTCATCGCGATTCGATTTTACTCTGCAAACAACGACTTGTGTTTCAATTCAACTCTACTCTTTTTTTCACTTTCTCGAATGTTTTCCACGCGTCGCAGGGAAAAGGTGAAAATTATTTCGGCAAACAAACAAAAATGACCAATTGGGCCGCCGCCAATTGATGAAGGAGTGTGCGAACGGGAAACCAGCTCGTGATAGACCGTTTGGGCTACACAGTACAAACAGTTAATATAAATGATTTTTTAACGAATTTAAGACATTTCTAGTGCAACTTATTTCTTTTATGGATTAACATTAAAGTATCAATACAGAACTTTATACGTATTATTCCAAACCTAATGCAAATTGTTTGGGGATTAATCTTAACAATTCTTATAAAATTTAATCGTTTATAATTGATGTGATAATTTTTATATAAGTGAGAATTCTTGATTGTGCTTAAGAATATGAGACATTTGTACGATTTATTTTAAATAAATAAGAAAATTATAAAATTGATTTATTCATTTAAAAATTTAATTTAACAATTAAATCGTTGAAATTTGATGTAAAATACGAGTTATTAGGTTTACTTTTTGAATAAGTAGATATCTCCTCTCTCTATATATAAATATATATAGGTTAAATTATACATTTGATCTTTTATCTTGTTTTTTGGATTCATTTTAGTTTGTTATCCGATAAAACGTTCATTTGATTCTTTTATCTTTTACATTTGTATCAATTTGGTCATTTTAAAATAATAATAATGTTTAATTTTGTGATAAATTTTTGAATTAATTTTGATTGATTTGAAATGTAAAACTTGTAACAATATATTCAACTATATAAAAATTATAATATTCAATTGACATCTAAATTCATAATGACTATAAACATAATAGAAATTATGTGAAAAATATATTTCATAAGCAAAGTATGAAATTATAATTTTTTTCAAAATTTATTTATTTTTTGAACATATTTTTATTCAATTTTTACCCTATTTATAATATATTTTTTTATTTGAACTTTAGTTTGTCACCGGTAATTTTTGTCAAAAATATACACATAAATATGATTGATATAATGGTGAAACAAATTATCCTTGAACTTTACAATTAAGACTCAATTTTTATTAATGTTTTTTTAGTATGATTTTTCACTTAGAAGTTAAAAAAAATATTTTAAAAATTATCGACCAAAAATTTCATCATGCCTCACTAATTCATACTAATTAGTTGCACAATCAATTGAATGAACAAATCAATTGGACTATATATTTATCAATTCAATTGATGAATACAAATCAATTTTTAAAACTATGTTTTTAAGAAATAAAAAAATGATTTTTTTACAAATGATTTTTTTTATAAGTATTTGCAAAGAAATTAATTCAAATATACTTAATTTGTTTATTTAAACCGTATTTTTTATGCATAAACTACATTTCTTAATTGTTAAAACATTTGACATGCATTCATGTGAAAAATTGCTTACAATGCCATGCCTAACAATCAACTCTATTTCCATAGAGGTGTGAGTGAAGACAAGTGTTCCATTTGTCAACAGCACTAGTCTATTTTTCATGCTATGTATGATAGAGTGCCCCTCATCTTCTATTTTATGTGTTATCCAAACATCCCATAAAGACAACTCTTTTTGAGATCAAAATTTTCCTTAATGACTTATGACCAATATTACGCATGGCAACTGGCAAGGGTAGGAAGCTAGGTTGGAGCTTTCTCTTTGGTACGATTCTAGGGAAACTTTGACAAAGGAGGAATGATAGCGTTTTCAGTGAAAATTTCCGGTAGGATTTTGAGATTTATGTTAAAGCCAATCATATTATCAGGGAATTGATTATCCTCCACGGGGACCAAAGGCAAAACCATGTACACTTGTTCCTCAGGGAAATCAAACTATTTATTTTGGATCCTCTAGCACCTAAGTATTAAACTGATTTGTGATGGGTCTTTTTCTCCAAAAATCAATTATGCTGCAGTCGGACTAATCTATAACATATAATAAATAGGATTGTTTCATTTAATGTATATATTTTAAGATAATTTTATTTATAAAATTTTAAATAATAAAAATAATAAATATAAGATTTCAACTCAAAACTGTTAAATTTAAATGTTAAATGCAACATCAATTAATCTATCAAATATTAATAATTTTTAAATATTTTTATTAAATAAAGTATAAAGATATAAAATGTTTTAACTCTACTAATTATCATAAATGAAGAAGATAACTTCATTATTACCCTTGCTTGTAATATGGGTTAATGCTCTATCGTCAAAGTTGAACTATGAACTATCAAACATACTCTTTACTTGACCAGCATTTGAGGCTTTCAAGTTTTGGAGGTGGAGTTGGGTTCTTAGTTAGCTATTCATGTGTAGTGATAAGGAACCCAACCCCGTCACCCTTGTAATGCCCTTGTAAGGGACATCATTGCACTTTTTGTATTCCTTTCGAAAAAGTAGCCCCTGTCATGTATATAGGAAGATAAATGTTGTTGATGCATTGTTTAAGTGAAGAATGTCTATGCGACTATGCCTGTGGATAGATATGGGGTTTAGTACTAAGAATTTGCTTCAAATTTTTTCCACCTCCACTTTTTAGCCGATTTTTCGTTTGTTTTGTTTAATAGATACCTTTCTTTTTGACCTCTAGGATTGTCTTGTAAGCATAAAAAAAAAAAATTACATATGTGATTTTGTTTGAATGATATAATTTTGAATCCCTAGATCCTAAAATAATTAATTTGGTTCAAAATAGTATAAGCTTTGTTTAGAAGGATCAAAATATACATTTTTTAATTATACGATTAAAAAAATTAAATTTAAGAGATCAAAAATAAATTTATCTTATAATTGAAAGATTAAAAATATATTTAAGTCATATATATTTGTTTTTAAATTAAATTTTAACAGTTTTTTTAAATATCAATAGTTAAATTAATCTTAAATCATATATTATAAATTTTAAATATAATTTCTATATTCAAAATATTTATTCATTATAAATTTTAATCATATAAAAAGGAGTATTTTGATCTTTAAAATATAAAATATAATAAATTTAAAATAAATATACTACACATACAAGTAATATAAAAAACTAATACAGAAAAAACTAAGAAGAAACAATTTAACAACAAAAAAAAAAAGTTCTGTGAAGGGTAAAGCCCGGCCCAATTAACAGCGAAGTGGGCACATAGACAGCGGTTCGGTCCAAGTGGGCCCGTGAAGTCCGTGTGAAACGGTGATCTATTTTCTATTCTGAAATTCCGATCTTATTTTGGTTTGGCGTAGGTGGAAGAAGGAAGTGAAATTCAGAGAGAAACGTAACCCTAGAGTGGTGAATCGAAACGAGTGAATCTGCAAAGATGGAATCTATTTCCCGAAGAAGAGGTGGAGGCATTTTCGAAAGCCTCTACAAGGTTGTTATGCGTCGCAACTCTGTCTATGTTACCTTTATCATCGCTGGTGCCTTCCTCGGAGAACGGGTTCGCCTTTTTTGCCTTTGCCTTTATCTTCTTTTTCAGTTTAGTTATTATTATTGTTTTATTTTTTGCTAAGATATTATTGTTATTTGGTTGCAGGCTGTTGATTATGGCGTCCACAAGCTCTGGGAGGCTAATAATGTTGGGGTAATGAACCTTCTCGACCCTATGGTTAATTTAATCGTCGATTTTATAGTGCATCCCATGTCATATTCTGTTAGTTTTCTGAGGCAATGAATTTGACTGGTCGAATTGAAATGATGCTTTGGTTGGATTGGATGTTGTATTCTTGGTGAAACTTAGATGGGGCTTTTTTCGTCAAATTACATTCTTCATAATAGTGTTGGATTTAAGATCTTTATGTTTTATATAACTTCTAGAGGGTTTAAGCTTGGAATATTTCTGATGTTTTGGTTGCTATTGGTTTTAAATAGATCTCTTAAGATTTTTGATTTTCTATAATTATGTATCGGATTATTGTTTCGTTTTAGCTTGATGCTATGACTGTCAACTGTAGCCTACATAAAATGGGATTAGTCTTTATGGCTACCTCGGTAGGGCGCTAAGTCTTGGTTGTTGTTGTATTATGACTATGATTATCAATCTACTCAGTATCTCTTGGTACTGCAATATAGTGCATCATTGATTATATCATAATTTAATATTAGATTTATGATTAGATTATGATGTATGTTATATCCAATTATTTTAGGCTTGGTATTGTTTGGAAGGTTTTTGATTATTATTAGACACTATATAAACAGATTCTGAACAGACAGTCGTGCCTGCCTTCCTTATTACCTAAATTTTGATGCTACTTGATCATCTTAATATGTTGCTGTTGTGTTCAATGTGTATGGATACTATTCAATAGCAAATTGAAAATAGTTTAGCATCACTTTTGCATGAATCATGAACTCATCATTTTGTTTGGGGATGATGCAATTTGAGTCATCATAGTTTTGGTTGCACCAATCAGTATCAATTGTTTTGTTCAAATTTTTGTCCAAGTTATCAATTTTCATTCTTTACTGTGCTCTGAGTTCCTACCTCCCAACAGAAAAGCCACAGAAGATAATATGCCCTTTTTTTCTCCTCTAGTATGGGTGAACCCACACACTTCTACACCCACTCTATCTTTCCTTTTAATTTTCCTTGTCTTGAGAAATCAAAATTATCAGGGGGCAGAAGTTGGTCATCACCACCAATTGTGATGTTTCTCATCTTACAGTTAGTTCTTTCATTTGTTTATCTGACACTTTTTGGTAAGCTTTCTCTTTCTTGACTGAAAAGTGGGGGATGGGGTGGGGTGGGGGGGGGGATATCTAGTAATCGATAATCCATTAGTCAAAATAAGGCAGCGTAAATGGGATGGATCATAACATGAGTTTTATTTGATGTGATCTTCATTTTAGACATAGAATTGGACAAAACAAGGGGTTAGAAAATGTTCCATCGTGGTTCCACTGTAAAGTATGGAACCAAAGAGTGTTAAGCTTGCCTCCATGATTGACCTCCTAATAAAGGAGGGGGGATGTTTGGTATTCAGCAATAAATTAGTCAAAATAAGGTAGTATTCAATAGACATGCTAGATGTAATGGAGCACAACATATGAGTTCAATTTCATGTTTGGTTTGTTCTAGAAATAGAATAGAACAAAATAAGATGTTAGAAAGTGGTACATTTTGGTTCTGCCAAAAAGTATGGAATCAAGGAGAAAGGAACAAAATAGGATATTCCATTTTGTCTTGTCCATGTGCCAAATCCCATGTAAACTTTCTTGTATATAACTATATATTATCATTATTATTATCTTTTGAAGCAATCAAACATAGAGTACTAATCTTGTTGATTAGGGGTTGAAGGCCCAATTAAGATATATGCCGTGGATGATGTTCTATTAATGGGAATGAGTGTTGCAACTCCTATGTGTCCTTTGTCACTCCCAAGGTTGTTAAACTCTCAAGTTAACTAGTAAACTATTCCAAGTTCACAATCCTAAGTAGAATAAACGAGTTAACTCTATAGTAAACTCTTTTCTGGATAAACTTTAAATTTGTGTAATCTCTTATAAACTCTCAAGTGAAGAAATGAGTTAGCAAGTTTGAATCAAATGTAATTTTTGCTCCTAGTATTTTATTATGACTCAAATGATTTGAAGAAATCAACTCCTTTTTGAAATAGTTTTACTTTAGGAACCTGTTTTTATGAAATTATATATAATTTGATGATTTACATAGTTTAATCCTATTTAGTACTAATTACTATAAATAACACTTTATTATTGTAGTTTAATACTCTTGCCTTTTTTATGGAATTGAAATGATGAATTATTATTGTATTAAGTGTATTATGTTATGCATATGTCATTAATAGATTTTTTAATGTTATTTTTATAATAAGTAAACGAATGAGTTTATGAGGAGTCCACAGAAGCTTTACAAATTTACGTAGAATCTTGAGTTAGAGAACGTTGGTCACTCCTATTCAAATCAAATTAACTAAGGATAATATGTAAATATTTAATTAAGTAAGAGTGGTAATGGCCATAGACATTTGCTTTGTTTTGCCAGTCTTAACTTTTTTTGATAAGTAGGAAGGAGAACGAAATGACCAAGACAGAGAAAAATGTGCACTTACTAACTAGTTGACTCTGGGAGTTACATCTTTGGACCATGTGCCCATTTTTATATTTTAATTTTTTAATACTCACTATTTCTGTCTGTCATATGTTTTTCTTTGCCTCATCTATACATTGCAGAAGGCTAATCATAATTCATTATTTGATCTTTAAAACAATAGATGGGATGTCTAATTATGGGCAATTTTGCACTGTCGATCTCATCTATGATTGTGGCCAAGTATTTTTAGTTATAGTGTGGTATACCAAATTACCATTTGCCAACCATCAATTTTAATGATTCTGATTTTTATTATACTATTATGATCGGTTGCTATACGATCTTTTTAGTATTCGAGCTTTGATCTATAATTATATTTTCTTCTGCAGAAACGATATGAAGACATTCCCGTGCTAGGGCAAAGGCCATCAGAAGAGTGACCATCTTGTTAGCCATTTTGAAGTTCTATTATATATTCATGGAAATTTGAAGTGAACATTACAAGCTGGAAGCAGTTTCCATTTTTGCAATAAATACCTTATGCTTGTCTCTTTAAGCTTAACTCTAATGCGTGGTTTCATTTAGTGGCTGTTGGAAATATTATACATTGAACCAGTGCAGAATTCTGTATTATTTTGAAAGGTTAAAACCCTTATTTGTTTCCTGATAATATTTTTTTGTTTCAATTTAGTCCCACTTTAATTTTTGGTCTCAATTTGATTCCAATAATTTAAATTATTGCAATTTAGGACTTCCGTCCAAATAATTTAAAGGGAGTTAACTGTTGGTCACGTGAATATCACGTAGATGCATACGTGGATGCCAGATTCCATGAATACACCTGGAATCAGAACGGCTCGTTCTGAAACCAGAACGGCCCGTTCTGCATGCACATGTTATGTGTTAATTTCACAACTGGAACGGGCTTCCAAATACAAATTTAACACAATATGAGTGTAGCAGAAGGGGCCTTTCTGAAACCAGAACAGGTCGTTCTGCTGTTAGAACGGACCGTTCTGAATTCAGAACGGCCCTTCCAAAATGCTAATTTCATGCTTTTTATTGTATTTTTTTTATTATATCTATATTAATAAAAGTATAATAAATAAAAAATACAATAAATTAATATTCATTTATGAATAAAACTATAAAAAAAAATCAAATAAGATAAGACCTTTCAAAATCTTTCTTTGATTTGAACTTATCCAGTTCAAAATCTCGACTAAAATGTCGCGATGTGATTCAAAAATTGATAATAAAAATTCATAATATATCATAAATTCAAAGACAAAAACATGGTTCAGAAACTGAAAATAAAAATTCAGAATATAACATATACTAAAAAAGTTCAAAGAAGTTACTGAAAAAGGAAATCATCTAGGTAACGCTGAAGAAAAATCCTAAATCACAAAAATTCAGGTTGTACCTCCTTAAGAACAAGTTGTTATTGTTGGGGTACATCGTCAATGATTTCAAGGAGAAACATTGTTTCGTTTCATCCTTGACTGTATAGTGTCAATTTGGTAGTAAGTGGTTTACTCCAGTTTGACTAACAATGAAATAAAACCTGCTACCGTTGTCCTTAATGATACATTGCATCGTCCTTAATGATACACTATATAGCTCAAATATTTAGCAATTGAAGTTATCAATCCTCATTGACAATATTACCAAATCTAGTGTTTGAAATGCTTTGTACTTTGGGTGTTTTTCGGGCACGAAATTCTAGAACCAGAACGGCCCGTTCTGGTTTTAGAATGGGTCGTTCTGGTTTCAGGTGTATTCAAGTATTTTGGAATCCACCTACGTGGCATCTACGTGGCCACCAGTTAACTCCGTTTAAATTATTTAGACGGAAGTCCCAAATTATAATAATTTAAATTATTAGGGACTAAATTGAAACTAAAAATTAAAATGAGACTAAATTAAAACAAAAAAATATTATAAGAGACCAAATAAAGGTTTTAACCATTTTGAAACGATTTATCTGGAATCATTGATTATGCAAATCGTAGGCTTTCTAGTTAGCTTGTTTTCTGAAAGTTTAAATACGAAAATCATTATTGCCCATTAATTTCATTTAATATCCCAAACGAGAATGGCATCAAATTATTTTTTTTTTTTGCCAAGACTAGATTCAGTGCAGCCGTACAAGGAGTTTACTGTGACAGAGAAATGCGAACCCATTCTTTAAACATTTTTGTGCTCGGTTAAAACTTATTAAAAATTAATAAGTCGTATTATTTCTTATTTTATAATTTTCAATAAATTTTAACTGATAAGTGAGTGTTAGAAAGTGTGTAGTAACCAATTGATGATAGTATTAATGAAATTAAAAGCGATAAGTGATAAGCTTGAAATATTAGTACTCTAAAAGCTAGCCACAGTTAAACTAAGGTTATTGTGAACAAGAGGCTGAAGAAGGCCTATTAGTGCATGTCCAATTGTCCATATTCTTCCTAATAATTGCTGGTGGCAACAAGGAAAATAAAACTAAATTGTATATTATGGATATCCAATAGTTTGTGTCAAGAATATGTTGAAGCCTCATGATAATTGGCTAGTGTTGGACTGTGCTTTTAAATATCTAAACGTAAAATTGTTGTCAACAAAAGTGCTCATATTTTCGCATAATATTAGCCAAGCACCAAAGCTGTGAACCTACTAGTAGCACCGTAATAGCAACATCATCTCTTGGGTTAAAGCAAAATGAAAATCAAGTAGTGTCACTCAAACTTGTTTTCATGCGTAATAATTTCTTAATTTAATTACTGCCTTTCAATATGTATTATATTTTCCTGTCTTTTTTATGACAGAAGCAATTAAAAAAATGTTTATAAGAATCAATAGCTTTATTTTGTATTAATACTTTAATAGTTAAAATTGAAAATACAAATTTATTTAAATTTTTAAGGAGATAGTTATGGTTTTTATGAAGTCGGGTCTCCGAGTAGGCTGCTAAGGTAGGTAGGTTGGCTCTTTTTGAATGCATTTTGTTATAATCTAATCGTCGCTTGTGTTTCAGAATAATCTGAGACGACCAACCTCCGGCCCTTACCATGAGGTGCTTTAATTCTCTCTTATCATATCCACATTTTCTTCAATTTCCTTCACAATGTTAATATTTATTATGCATCATTTTGTTTTTGTTTCTTGAATAGTAAGCTACAGTGATGCACTTAGGGAGGCCAATACTGCATTGGCATTGTTACTCTTCTACTAAAATGACACTTTTTTTTTTTTTTAAATGAGGTTTAAAATGACAATCGTTCCGCAAACCATTTCGTCAAAGTTTGATGAGTACCGTTTTTTTAAAACTTTTTTGTTTCAGGTGAATGGTTAATTCCTCCGAGTGTTTTTCGTACAAAATAGCGTAACTGATTCAAAAATTATGTTTCAAACATTAAATGCTTCAAGTTAAAAAAAAAAAAAAAAAAAAGTTCTTCAAACATGTTTCTGTATATATACTACAAAAATTCTGTTCGGTATCAACAAAAATGTAAACAATAATCAGTCTTGAGCCAGGTCTTTCTGGTAAACGAATGAATCTGCCCTCTCTAAACAAAATCTGAATATAGCGATTATCTCTAAAATAAAAATAAAAATAAGAAGGAATGAAAGTACTTCCAATTTATTGAATATATTTTTATTCCCAACTAAAATTCTGTTCTGTATCAACAAAACTGTAAATGGTAATCAACCTTGCGCCAATCTTTCTAGTTAACGAATGAATCTGCGCAAGTCATCGCCATTGTTATATGGCATTACACAAGGAACTTGCCATTGCTGCATACCGTAAGTCTCATCTGCAAGTCTAATTTTACATCTGAGGGGTACCAAGCTCCAAGGTATTAAATCAGGCTAGACAAAGTTCCTGATAATTTAATACCGGTATAAATTCATCTTGCAATAAAATCATAATACAAGCAATAAATTTTATATTCAGTTAAATTAATCGTTTTTTATGGTATAAAAATCATGTTTCACAATGGAATCTAGCTCGCAAGGACTGGATAAGTTGTGAAAGCAGTGGTGGAGGGTCAGAGACGTGGCTAGCAAGATAACTGATTACTGTTTCACCATGAAGGAAACTTTACAACTGCATCCACCAACTGCACTGGGGTTCTCAGTCACCTGCAAATGAGAACAGAAACTAATTGTAAATTATACTTGGTTACATCATTACATGGCTTAAGAATGCTACCCAAAATGGTAAACCAAACACCCCTTTTCCTTCACAGTCAACATATACCCATTTCAGTGCAATACACAGTCACAAAAAGTCACAAACACTTAACTTTACACATTCATACAATCCAAGGTGATGCTCCTTAAATTGGAAATTTCTATGTGTAGACCCCTAAAATTGTCCGGGTCGGAAATAACATAACATTGTTCAAAGAGGGCAAATTGGCTTGGAGAGAATCAATATGGAGTAATTTCCTTTATGGTGTGTTTGGATGAAGAATTTATATAGGGTAATTCATTTATTTGAAGAATTTTAAATTTCTTGAGGTGAAATGCTTTGTTTGGATGAGAAATTTACAAAGAATTTGAAATTCAAGCATTTATGAAATTTCTTAAAATAGTAGAATTTCAAATTCTCTCAAAAATGGGAGAATTTGAAATTTCTGATATTTGTTTTTCTTATTTCACCTATATATTTTATCTTATCTATTCATTCTTTTAATTATTAGATATTTAAAAATATTTTTAAAATTATTAAATATTATCTTATATTAATTATTAAAATTATTAAATATTATTTAATATTAATTTTTAAAATTATTAAATAT